AAAACCTCTCATCCATCCTTAATGGGAAACACAACTGGATGATGATTGGGGATCTTAATGATATAGTGGAACACAGGGATTATCAGGATCAAAGGATAGGAAAAAACAAACTATCCGAACCCATACAAAATCTAATAAACTCGTTTTCTCTATTAGAAATTGAAATGATGCATGGGGGATACATACATATGGTCGAATGGACAAAACGGAAATAAACTGGTAAAGGAAAAACTGGACAGAAGCTATGAAACTCCTTGGTGGCATAACCTTTTCCCCAATGCAAGGATATCGGCTACCAAAAACCTTTTTTTAGACCATGCGTTCCTAGTCCTAGACACCAACCCAGGTATCATCACTGGACCCAAACAGTTTCACTTCTTATACATATGGGTTGAGGAAGAAGAATGCAATAAGATAGTTGAGAAACAATGGGAACAAATCGGCACAAGTAACAGAATAGCTCAAAAGCTAAAGAAATGCAAAATTCACCTAAAGAAGTGGAACAAGGAAAATTTTGGAGTGATTGCAGAAAAAACTAGAAGGGGTTGAAACTAGCAATGCCTCGAGGGATAGGGCCTATATCATTAAGGAGTAGTACTATGATAAATGGCAATTGAGGAAGGAACAACTTTGGAGAGTCAAATCCATAGAGACATATGGTTAAAGGAGGGAGACAAGAATACAAGGTATTTTCATCAAATGACAAACTTTAGGAGGATAAGAAACTCTCTGCAATTCCTGAAAAAAGAGAACGGGGAAATAATGCAGTTGGAAGAAATAGCTGAAAAGTTTAAGGCTTACGCTATCCACACAAGTAGTGAGCCAAGAGAGGAAGAATTAAATATTCAAAATCTAGTATCAAACAAACTCTCTAAGGAGGAGGCTAAGGAACTATTAATTCCATCACCAAATGAGGAGATAGAAATAATTGTAAAATCTATGAATCCTCAATCTGCACCAGAACCAGATGATTTCCCTCCTTTCTTCTATCAGAAATACTGGCACATAGTCAAAGAAGATGTATGCAAGATGGTTAGAGACTTCTTTCACACAACGGAGTTTTCCGTAGAGATTAACTCGACAAGCTTAGTATACATCCCAGAAACCAAACACCCTGAAAATATTCAACAATATAGACCAGTCAGTGTTTGTAATGTGATATGCAGAGTAATAGCAAAGTGTTTGGTGCTTAGAATGCAACAAAAACTAAACAAACTGATAGCTCCTAATGAAGTTGCATTGATAAAGGGGAGACAAAGTGTGGATAATATCATCACGGTTAAAGAGGTTATTAATAAAATGAAAAATCAGAAGAAAGGTGTAGATTGGGCCTTCATGAAGATTGACATGTCTAGCGCCTATGACAAAATAAGGAGGGATTTTCTTATAGAAATGTTAAAAGGCATGGCTTTCCTTGAGCAATGGTGTAAAATGATAGAGAAATGCATAGTTACTCCAAAATTCTCACTAAAAACCAATGGAACACTAAGAGTTTTTTGTGCTAGAAAATGGAATTAGGTAAAGGGATCCCCTCTCACCTTACCTATTCATCATTGGAATGCAAGCCTTATCCAGTCTAATAATGGAAGCTAAAAATAAGAAGAAAATACAAGGCATCAGAATATGTAGAAATGGAACACCTATATCACATTTTCTATTTGCGGATGATTGTGTAATTATTTGTAAAGCAGAACCTTCTCATATTAAAAAATATATCTTGGACAGAGTAAATACAAAGTAGGCAACCAGGAAAGCAAAAATGCTAAGCAGGTAGAACAACTTTAACTTAGTCGGTCTTGCAAGCCTTACCCATGTACACCATGGCTCATACCATCCTGAAGAAGAAAACAATTACAGAATTGGAGAAAATTCAGAAGAGATTATGGTGGGAAGGAAACAACACAAAAAGCATTCACACTATTCCTTGGAGAATAATATACAAACCGAAAAAGGAGGGAGGGCTGGGTTTTAAAAGATTGGAGTTGTTTAACAAAGCCCTATTTGCTAAGCAAATCTGGCGCTTACTTTCATCAAAACAAGAATTGTGGGCCCAGGTAATAAGAGAGAAATATATAAAAAATGATTCCATATTCCAATTAAAAAAGAGATCCAATAATTCAAAATTGGTGTAAACATGTCATTGAGTTGTTAGGGAGAGTCTATTTTGGCAAGTGAAAAATGGTGAGGAAATCCACATTCAAGGTCCTTGGATCCCATCTCTACCTCCAAGATATCCAGAATTTAAGGATAACTTAGTGATAAATTTAAATAATATCAAGGTGAAAGACCTATGGGATGAAAATGGACAATAAAACACCATAATACTGAGACAAATTTTTAAAGAAGAGCCCATTAATCATATCACTCAAATAAGTGGGACCCCCTCTAACACATTACACAACCGACATACACTATCATGGAAAGAATCCAAAAAAGGCAAATACTATGTCAAATAAGGGTACAAGTTCTTCAGAACTTTAGAACCATCAAGTTCTGGTCTGAATATTAACTGGAATATGCTAAGGTCCCATTTGGATTCCAAATATTCATGTGGAAGGCATGGTGGAAAGGAACACAAACAAACGACAAGTTACATTTTCTATCGGATGCAGAAAAAGGGTGCCCTCTTTGCAGCAGGGAAATAGAATCCTGGCAGCATCTCTTCTTTCAACGTGACTTTGCAAGAGCTGTATGGCTCAGTACACAAATTGGCCGGCATCAACCCATATGAAGTCAAAAGCCTCCTATTAGATCAGTTTATTCACAACTGGCTGAATGTAAAACTGAAAGCCTATAGAGCCTTTGCCTGAATTGAGCATCACCACAGAGATTCACACAAAAACAATTGAACATCATATTTATGTGGATGATTCCTTTAACCCAGCAAGTGGTGTAGCAGGTACTGGTACTGGTTGTGTAATTCTAACCAACACCAACTCTGTGGTGATGACAGATAGCAGAACATTTCAAGCATCCTCAAGCTCTCAAGCTCTCAAGCTGAATGGTGGGTTGTAGCTGATGGTCTCAAGGTGGCAATTGCTCACAAAATCACATCTGCTATTTTATTTATTTTTTTGATGCACAAGATGTTGTAAATAGTATCAATGATGGTATGGAAGATGAAGAATGGCAAATGAAGCACATCAAGGAAACAGTTCTGAACTTTAGAAGTCTTTTTGTTAATATTGTTGTTCAATATATTCCTAGATCTATGAATATGACTGCCCATGATCTAGCTTACTAATGAACTCAATGAAGGCAATAGCTCATCGAAATGTAACTCTTATCAACATGAGCAATGAATGGTTATCTTTTTTGAAAAAAAAAAAAAAAAAAGGATTAAAAGCGCACTACTTCCCTACACTGCAACTATATGGGCCTATAGCGGTGGATTTTTTAGGCTGCATTTGGCATTCCTTATTTTGCAGTTACATTTTAACTGCAAAAAAGAGACAAGTCCTTAAGATAAGAAATGCCAAATGCAGCCTTAGTGGCGCTAATATCCGCCAGTATAGGCCACCTTCTTGTGGTGATAATATTAAATCACTAGTATGGATAGAATATAGTGGTAAAACATCCAACAAAAGTTACAAACTGCCACTACATAATCTCTTTTTAGCAGTGAATAATCATAAATGTTACTACAAATTAAGGGCAATTTTTCTCATATTCATCAATCATCATGATGTTACCTAGGGAGTTTATGACCTCTTAGTACTACACAAGACGGGGGACGGAAGGTTATTAGCACGTCCCCTCATATCATAGTTGCAGATCTTCAGCAACCATCCTCATGGCATCTCAATGTGACTCCCTACACCTTTTACACATGTATTAAGGTGAATTCTACCAAGTCAAGTTTTCTAAGAACCCGCCAGACTAAAAAACTGGCTGCATTTTCCTGGTTCAGTGGTTCTGACTTCTGACGGTCCAATCATCCGGTCTGTACCTGCACTTTCTGGTCTGACGGTCCGAGTCCAAGAACTCTGATAATATTTGCTCATTGACCAGGGTATTTTAGTAATTAAGCGGGATCACTTTAAGCTTAACTTGACTTATCCCCAGATGGAAAGCAGTCCTCGGAACTCAACACTCAATAGACACGTGTCACTGCATGACTTTAAAATAACAAGAAATTTGTTCCAAAAAATACAAAGTCGCTGACTGGCTGGGTATCTACCACGTGTACGGTTCTATTGCTATTAGACACGTATCCTCGTTGTAACTGTCCAGTTACTCCAGTATTAGTATACATTTCTGATTTGAGTTCAGCTAGAGATTCCTACTTGTATCGCCTCTTTTTTTTAAACTGCACTCCTCAGAATTCTGAATTAACACTCATACCCGCTCGGAAGTGTTCCTACGACAATTCAAAATTATAAACACCTCCACCTATAACACTCCTCCTACCCGCTCGTAAATTTCATCAATTCCGAACTGGCATTTAAATCGAAACGAATAATGGGGAATAATAGGGAGAGAAGCAAAAACTCATTTCAACGTGTTATTTTGGGGATTCCGCCATTAAAATCCTGCAACGTCCGTCCTGGTTCTTGAGAACGAGAAACTGGTTGAACCTTCTAGGAGTTTTGAGTTACATCTCATATCAGATTGCTTTCTATTTTTGTCATTCTTTTACAATCATTTTTTAGACGCTCCTGTGAATTTGGCGGAAGTTTCTCCAACGTATAGAATAGACACCTCTAAATTTAGCCAAACTTTTCTCTTTCTCTCCAAACATTCCAGAGCTAGAGAGACAGAGAGAGAAAAACTCTCTCTCTCTCTCTCTCTCTTGTTGTCATCGCGCTGCAATTCTCTCTGTTTATGATCTATTTGAGATCGACATTACCGAAAGGCGAAACTGAGCTTTTGATCGTTGTCTGTAATCGGTTTCGTGGTAAAAAAAAAAAAAAAAAAAAAAAAGAGAGAGAGAGAAGAAGCTCTCTGTAGAGAAGAAATTTGAATTCAGACTATCTCTGTTTGGGAGAAAATCAATGATAATGGACTCGCCTGGAAAGGCGACAGACGCGTCCACGTCGTTTATCCTAACATCGGGCACGAGTGGGCGTGTAAATGCACTTCTGTCGCTGCGGGTGTTGAAGAGCTTGCTGATGCTGATTAATGCGTTTATTCTGCTCCTGCTGGTGCTTTTTAGGGGACGGAAGCGAAGCATTTCGCCGGTGGAGAAATCGTCCAAGGAAGAGAAGCAGAAAATTAGCAGGAAGGTTCCGGTAGCGATGGTTCCTTGGAGGAGTACTTTATCGGTGACAGGGGAACAAGAAGCGGCAGCAAGGAGAGCGCTTGCTGTCAAGAGGGTGAGTCAGGACGATGATGGTAAGTCGGCTAGAGAAGTTTTCCTCTTTGTCACCACAAGAGGTGATACATTGTTTACGCAGTCGTGGACGCCGGTATCAACTAAAATCAAGTAAGCGTCGGTTAGCTGATTTGATTCATTTTGTTCTTGGTTTTGATGAATATTTGAATATGTGAGCTTTTTCATTGGAGTTACTGATGATTTTCTGTAGTATCACTGAATGCCTTTGAATACGCGTTTGTTCGGACGCTCCTCTGAATTTAAGAACTTTGGTTAAGAGAAGATGGAATAAAAAATTGCATATTTTTGCCTGAGACCAATCGTGGTTGCTTTTCTCTATATTGTCTCTATTCTTAGCAAGCCTATTCTCCTATATATGGTCCTACCCCCATTTCTTCCCTGACAATCAGCTTTTACATTATTTTGGCTTGTCTTTGCAACTACTTCAATCGCCATTATTGTTTTTGGTATTGCCACTGTACCTTAGAATTACATTGCCCAAGCAACTCCATGTTTTTCGGTTTGCCTTTTTCTCTAACCTCCTTTGTATGAGGATCTTTGTCTCATAGAAAAACAAATAAGAAAACAACTCAAGAACACACATATAAGATTTATGTGATTCGGCTTATAACCTATGTCCACATATGAAATCCATATGAAAACGACAATGAAAATACAAAGTTGTGCAAACACTTGAATAGAAAACCTAAACCCTAATACACCCAAGTTCTCGCCCGCAATACTTTCTCTGTCTTCTCACACAAGCCAAAGATACATAAAAGAGAAAAAGCCCCAAAAACATAACATAACGTAATCAGTCAGATCCATAAGCTGAAAATGGATTGGGCCCATGACCGCAATACTTTGCCTGTGTTTTTCTCCACAAATGCGAGTCGACATGGGGCGTGCCGTAACAAGAATTCAAAGCACAATACAATAAATACTAATAAATATGAGTTTTGAGTATCTCTTCAAATGTTCAAATACAACATTCTAGCCATGACATTGAGTGAGCCCATCTTCAAAGGAAAACCAACCTAACTTATTTGGGTATATGCAATATTCTTACTGATTTCAATAAAATAGATTTTCCTTTAGGCTGCATTTGTTTGAAGTGTAAATTCATTTTTACACGGATGAAAAAGGTGGTGACGGTTCAGTGGTCGATGGAAAATGAATCCGAATGGATTTGAATTTTTACACTGATGACGTTTGGTTGTTACAGTGTAAAAGTGAAGCTTCCCACTCTGTTTCTTCTCTGAAACTCTTCCGTCGAACCTAGTTTTTGCTCTCTGCAACTCTCCCTGCTCTGAAATTCTCCTGGGTGGCATCTGTGTCTGCTCTGAAACGTCCTCTTCCTCCTGCCTTTGGCAGAGATCCAAAGAGGGCTACAGTTTCTGAATCCAAACATCCTCTCCACCCACAGTTGCTGTCTCTATAACGAAGATGCAATGAAACTCCTGGACTCGAGTTCCAACACCGAAGAGGTCAAGAAAACTTGAATGAGAATCCAGTTGCCCTGCGCCATGAACGAGAACATTGATCTTTTGTGCTCTGAGATGGTAGAAACGCCAGTCGAACCCAGTTGACCATTGCAGTGAAAGGAGTCAGCACCAACTTCATTAAGTCGGTTACAAAGCCGACTTAACTTTTGGTTAAAAAGGGCCCACGTGGTCCATGTAAAAACCATAAAAAGATAAGAACCGCCTCTAATGGGCGGTTAGCTCATGTATAAATAGGGGCTCACCCCCTACAAACGTGTTGTAATTCCAAGTTAAATAGTAAGGGAGTGGCGTAGAGTAGTCTTGTGGTGAGTAGCCTCCAACTAAGGTTAGTAAGTGTAATTTTTAAGTTAAAAGAGTGCACGTGTGTGATACATTTCATTGTGTATGTTTGTATGTTTGTATGCTTTGCATTAGTAATATGCATAGCTATTTTCTATTTCCAGTTATAGTGTGTTTGCTTCTCTTTGCTTTTCTTGTGTGGCTCCATTTGTTTGTTGGGTCTCTACATGCAGTGCTTAGAAGAGGTGCGAGCTCTGGTTCGTTGTCGTTTGGTACCAATGTTGGTGAAGGAACAGATAAAAACTTCTTATGATTGTGAAGAAGCTTGCAGCATGGAGGCTGAGCAGAGAAGGTAATGTTTTGTTCAAATATGATTGAGCCGCGCTGCTCGTCTTGCAAATATGCGCGGTTTAATATAGTCCACAGATCTGCAACACTGATGGTGAACTATTCTCGTTGGAAACTTAGATTCTTTGCTCTATGGTAGAACGCCGATGCAAGTGAGATATCCAAAAGAGATAGTAACTGATTGGATAAGGGGGAGAACTTCTACTGCCGGAAGTTGCAGTGGCAGATAAGAACAAACAAGAGTGAAACCGGGGAGAAAGAAGAATAAGGAGAGAGAGAGAAAAAGAGAGAGAGTTCACTGAGTTTTGAGAAGATGGAGTTTTACATCGATTTTATTGGTGGTAACTTCCCACCAATTTTCGATGTAAAATTTACGTAAAGTGGAGTCATCTACGATGTAAAATAACATCTCATCCAAACGTTTAGCAAAATTGAACCGGAGTGTAAAACTTATCCCGATTCACATTTACACCTCAAACAAACGCATTCTGAACTATTTTTATTGAACTTTTGTTCTTGGATTTGTTTTTTTCTTTTTGTTATACATATTACTTTTGTTTTGTCCTTATTTTTTCATTTATTCATATAACTTTTGTTCTTGGGTTTGTTTTTTTCTTTTTGTTATACATATTACTTTTGTTTTGTCCTTATTTTTTCATTTATTCATATAACTTTTGTTCTTGGGTTTGTTTTTTTCTTTTTGTTATACATATTACTTTTGTTTTGTCCTTATTTTTTCATTATTCATATAACTTTTGTTCTTGGGTTTGTTTTTTTCTTTTTGTTATACATATTACTTTTGTTTTGTCCTTATTTTTTCATTTATTCATATAACTTTTGTTCTTGGGTTTGTTTTTTTCTTTTTGTTATACATATTACTTTTGTTTTGTCCTTATTTTTTCATTTATTCATATAACTTTTGTTCTTGGGTTTGTTTTTTTCTTTTTGTTATACATATTACTTTTGTTTTGTCCTTATTTTTTCATTTATACATATAACTTTTGTTCTTGTATAGTTGTATTTGATTACAACTGTTGAATAGCATCTAATGGTAATTTGATGTTTAAGGTAACTAATATTTCCTTTGTTTTTTCCACATTGATCTCCTTATATATGAGATTATTGATAATGCCTCAGGAAGAAAGAAAAGGCTCTTCTAATTAAATTGATCTTAATGGCAAACCTCTTTGGGATTTAAACCCTCATTATCTTCAGGAACAGATGAATTTTCTTGGAAATGACCATTAATGAATAGCTACTAATAGTCGAAATCGTACTGTGCAGGGGACTTGTGGTTATTTTACATGGCCTGAATGAGCACAGGTATGCAATTATGTTCTGTTATAAAAGCCTCAAGAGTCCTGATTTGGCAATTTCTAGAACTTGACATATTACGTTACCAACATTTGCAATTTGTGGAACAGTGGAAGGTATAGTGATTTTGCAAAGCAGCTGAATGCTAGTGGATATAAAGTTTATGGAATGGATTGGATTGGTATGTCAGCAACCTTTTTTTGGACAGCCATGGCCGATAGCATTTTCATTTATCTCCTAATCTGTCTTATGGATGAATCACGTTTCTACATGTTATATTGAGGTTCCCCCTAGTGCCCACACTCATATACTAGATAGATAAATAGATTGAAGTTCCAACATTCCTCGTCAATACTGCACATGCCAATGGGGAAAAATTGGACATCAGATTGATACCTAACCTTGCACAGTGGAAATTATATGATGTATCTTCCAAAGGAAGATAAGTAACTTAGAAAAGATCAGAGATCCATATTGGTAATAAAGATGGCAGAAAGCAAACATACGAATGCTCATTCCCTACCTTCAGGGTTTGGTAATGTTGGAGGACTTTGTTTCTGGAACATTTAACTGGATACCCAAATAGAGAATAATCATCTAAAAGAAATTGACACTATCCTAATTTAGTTGGGCCTTAATTGTTTTTACTATGTAATTTGGAAAACGCAATGCCAGCATGGAACATTGACATGTATTCTTTTAGATGGAAACTTATTTTCTAATCTTTAGAGCAGTTACATAGGTGATTTAGGACAGGGTGGGGGTCCTACAAATTTTAGATCTAGTGGTAGGCTTCATAGGTGAAGGAAGAGCTTTGGGTGATTAATGATGAAGAGTATAAAGATCATGAGCTCTTATGGCAAACAATGCATGGGAAAGAGGAATCATCTTGTGGCCAAGTCGAGGGAGTGAAATATAATTCATTTTGGCAACATTCATGAGATGAAAATTGAAGTTATGCAAATGCTAGAACTTACTAAAAAGAAAAGAGCAGCTATTCTAAGGACCCAATCCTTAAAAGAAAGGAAATCCTTTCTAAAACAATTAAGTCATATCCTTTTCAAAGAAAAATTTTTTGGGTTCAGAAAGGTATAATAAATCGGCTAGCTTTTGGTGAAAAGAACAACAATTTTTTTCTCATGTAACTATAGTGATTAGAATAAATAGAAACAGAATTTATAGGCTAAAAGATAGCATTGGCAATTGAACCACTAATAAAGGGGAAATAAGGAAAGGCATCGTAGATGGTTTCGTGGAAATTTTAAGTATGAGGGGCCGGATATGGGTGGGATAGAGGAATTCAGCAGAGTTATCAATGGAAGGGTGACATAGGAACATAATATAATACTAGAACAATAAATCATCATTGAAGAAATTAAGGATGATTTAAATCACATCCCAGATGGAATGAATGCCATGTTTTTCTCATGTAACTATAGTGAATCAAATCAATCAATGAATGCTTTAAATCAGCATAGAGGTCTTTGAACTTAAGAGTTTCAATGTTGTTTTGATACAAGAAAAATTCTCAGTATTAATTTGAGTTTCTAAGCTTAGTTTAGAACAATGACATGTTTATATCTTTAGTTGTTTAACTATTTAAGCACATTTCAAATTTGATAGATCGTGTATTGTGGTATGAATCTATATGTAGTTTACTTTTTAATATGTTATCTTGAAAAGTTCTCTTTTTGATTTTTCATTAGGACATGGTGGAAGTGATGCTCTGCATGGATATGTTCATTCACTAGATGCTGCTGTCAGTGATGTGGTACATTTTTTGAGCATGAATTCTAGTTTCATTGCGGTTCCCTCTTTACTTGAGTACTTTATCTGTTCATCTATCTATATGTGCATTTCAACATTTGCAGAAAGCATTCATTGGGAAGGTTTTAGCTGAAAATCCAGGGCTTCCATGTTTTTGTTTGGGACACTCAACAGGTGCAGCAATTGTGCTAAAGGTACGAGTCTTTCCCCCCACTAAACAGCCTTCTATTAATATTCTTTATTATGCTAGCTAGCTTCTGTACAAACAAATGCACAATTCCATCTGTCCTGTCGAGCTAGAATTTATAAGTTTTTCCTTTTATATTTTCATGGACAATTGAAGGCAGTACTGGACCCAAAAATTGAAGCACTCATAGAAGGTGCAGTATTGATTTCACCTGCAATACGAGTTCAGCCATCCCATCCAATTTTGTGTGTAAGAAACACTCCTATTTGCATTGCTTCAAATTCCTTGTTTACTTTCCTTTCAAGATTGAGTAACTTTGATCTATTATATATCAATGGTGACAGGTTCTTGCTCCAATTTTTTCCTTTTTGTTACCAAGATACCAATTCAGTGCTGCTAACAAGAAGGGAATGCCGGTTTGCCGTGATCCAGACGCACTAGTAGCTAAGTATTCAGATCCCCTAGTGTTCACTGGGTCCGTTAGGATTAGGACTGGAGCAGAGATTCTCCATATCTCATCCTACTTGCAACAGAATATGAGTAAACTAAACATCCCCTTTCTAGTTCTCCACGGCACTGCTGATACTATGACTGACCCTGAAGCTTCTCAGAAACTGCATGAGAAAGCTTCATCCGCTGATAAATCCATCAAACTGTATGAAGGATTCTTACATGATCTCCTTTTTGAACCTGAACGAGAGGATATTGCGAAGGACATAATCGAATGGTTGAACTCTAGAGTGAAAGCTTAGCTGGTGTATAGCAGTAAAGTTGAAGAAAGCCTGAAAAGAAAATGGAAAAAAATATTAAACTGTGGCAGGCATTTTTTATAAATTGCCACTGAAGTTCTCTGAGAATTTACTGGGGAAGTTTTCGGTTGCTAATTAAATTTCAGTGATTAGATGCAGAGATATACAAATTTTTTTCTCGTATCACGGGAGGCACCAGACATTTTACTAGCATTAATTGGGGAGTCCAGCACTTTTTGGGTGGCCTTTTCATTTTTTTCTCCAGGTGAGAGTTGTTTGCTTATATTATCCATGAATGGAAGAAGCTAGCCTGTTATCATTGCTCCATGTTTACAGGAAAAAATATGTAAATATTTGATCGGAAATGGCATGGTTTTGAATTTCTGGCACAACTGCTTTAGTATGCCTTGTTACTGCCTCAGTGTCGTGATACTGGTTTTCAGAGGATCATTGCTAAACCAAAATTACTTTAGTTCTCGTAATCTTTTTCCTGAACGAGTTCATGCAATTAATTGTGTATGAGACGACTCTCTATCTGACGTATGGCATACACCTGTACATGCCATATCTGGTCAAATATTAGTGTTTAGGGCATGGTTCAAAGTATCGACACGATGTTTTTAGGTGTTTGGGACCTCTAATTTTTTTTTAATAATAAAAAGCATGTTAAAAGTTTTCTAAAAAATCAAAATGTGAAAAAAATATTAAAGTTTTGGCCGTTTCTAAGTACTGATATAATACGATCAAAACTTGTATTGTATTGATACTTTAAACCTTGGTTTAGGGTTGCAAATTTGGATCCATGGGATATAGGCAGATTCAAATTTGATTCAGTTACATTCAGATTCGAATTGAATCATATCCGCTCACATTATGCCGGATTCGTATGGAAACCAGATTGCAACAGATATTAAATAAAATCAAGGGTAATTGTCACCCACTATCACTTTTCCTGAATTCTTTTAAATTCACCACAACTTTTCAAAACGTTCAAATTTCAACATGTCAGTTAAATTTTATTTTCTAAAATTCACCATCATTTATAACACCATTAAAGTTGAATAATCCAAATTGTCCAGGTAACTTCATCTCGGAATTGTTGGCAAGGGAACCATTCTTCATGCTCTTCAGGAGCCACAGGAATTGGCCTAACCCACCCGATGAACCCCAAGCAGGCATTTTCTCTCTGTACTTGTGACTTATATCGAAGATTCTTCCGTCATCGTACACCTCCCTCCTCACAGGGACCAGATCATCTCTTGGTGAGCACGAGCCGGAAGAGCACGAACCGGAATCGTCACCGTAAGTCGGTGGATAGGCGTAGGCCAGAGATACGACAGAAAATTTTATAATTTCAGTGCAGAGAAAGATCAGCAACGTCAGGGGAGCTATCGTCCTAGTTACCATGATGCCATTGCCTTTTTGCTGGGAAGTGAAATCAAAGCAAAGCAGCGAATGACTGATTAAGTGGGGAACTATTTCACTTATCTTCAAAGACTTTTGGTAGGACTATTTATTTGATTCGTTTATGCATTCTGAATTTCTGATTCCAATCGAATTCCATTCGAGTTGATTCCATTCCAGATTGTAATTAACAAATTATAATTAAATTTAGATTTGTTTTTGGTAAACAGAAACTTCAATAAATCCAGCTAAACAAAAATACAAAAGTTTGGGTTGGATCCATGCAACTAACAGTCTAATTACCCTCAACCAAGGTATCTGGAACGTTAAAAAATATATCAGAAAGGTGATTTTAAGACGAAGATATGAGAGAAGCAGCGACCGGTGAGAAGTTGCGGACTGTTCTTCTTCTCAGATGCATCATGTTCTTCAAGTTCTCAAACAAAGGGGAAGTAGCGGCCGATGGAAGAAGAAAGTAACAGCTAATGCTTGTGTTTTGGGTTGAAGAATGATGGGGTAATTTTGGTATATTGCAGAATGGATTGAATATAATGAAAGGTAAAATGATAAATTAACATGTCCGTTAATTAAGTTACCATTATCTCATTGACATGGTGAGTTTTGGACGTTTTGAAAAGTTGTGTTGAATTTTAAGAGAATTCAGAAAAAGTAATGGTGGGTTTTGGATAATTATCCTAAAATCATTAAATCTTACACAATGATGTAGGTATCACATATTCTTTCTATCTATACTATATCATATAGCGGTTAAGCAGTAAGTTAGCGGCCCTTTCCTTCTCCCATTCTCCCCTTTTCTCATTTCTCTTTTTCAACTCTCTTTCCTCCCCTTCCCAAACCCAAGTCCCCCATTAGGCTCAGTTTGGAAGGAGTATAAATACAAATATGCAGTATAAAATACAAGGTTTTGCACTTTACATTACTACATATTTGTATTTGTACTCCTTCCAAATGGAGCCTCAATGATTAAACCACGTCATCAATTCTTTCTCTCAATTTCTCTCACTTCCCAATAGATTTGTAATTTTTTAGATTTTTTATTTATTTGTTTTTTAAAGGTGAGAGAATACATGTCTCTTAATAATATCTACTAGCAGGGACCCGTGTGATATGCACGGGAAAATTTGAAAGATTTCATAATTTTCTTTTTTTAATAAGTTTAGTTTTATTAATAATTTGTAGTAATTTTAATAATTTTTATTCTTTTTATTATTTTTAAATGAAATTTTGATTAACTTTAAATAAATAAAAATAATTATAAAAACTAACATTTTTATTAATTTTACAAATAATTAACAATTATATAGGAATGACAACGGAGTGGGTTTAGGATAGGGCACCCCAATGTCGGGCAAGGCACCCACTCCTCATTAAGGATGGAGAATCCTCGAATTTCCTTGCCCCGTCCCTAGTATTGGGTGGGTTCAAGTTGAGGTGTAAATTGGATCATGCTGGGTCAATACAACATGACCCGCATTGGCCCGCAAAAAGTGCGAGTCGTGCCATGCTGGACCACGAGGCATCCTGGGCCATGCCTCCCTCCTCTAGGATAATTGGGGGGGTCGGTTTGGCATGACTCACGGCTCGAACCCGTACGGGTCCATGCCGTGTTGTGGGTTGGGCTGGTCCATGGGCCGGGACTTGGGCTAGGCCTTGCCGCACACCAAGCCAAGCTCAAGGCAAGGCACCCACACCCCATCCAAAGTTTTTAAAATTGGACCGAATGGGGAACCGTTCTGGGGTCGAACAGTCCGATTGTTCAGTTCGAACAGATGACCTGCTCTAACAAAAAGAAATTAGAAAAACAAAAAACGGACAAAAATTGTTGTCCGGGTTGATGGTTCAACTGCCCAAGTCAGCAATTTGCTAACCAAATAAATAATTTTTGGACAAAAAGCAGTTTTGAGGTGAAACGGTGTCCGGTTCCCAATTTTTTTGGTCTAACCATCTAGTTTGATCTAGTTTTGAAAATACTGTCCCCGTCAATCCAATATTCAATTTGATGATAGAAATGATCAAAATGATATATTGAGTATCAACCACATGGTAAATTTCTATTATTGTTAATTGAAAGATTTAATAAATTTCTATTCAATCGGAACTCAATCCCCATCCTCGACTCCAACCTCAACTGGGGATTCCTATTAATCCTCGTCCCTGCCCCCGCCCCACCAAAACAATCCCCATCCCTAAATTCCTAGCCCCATTGAGTTGGGGAAGTCAGGTCCCTGTTGGGGGTGGGGAAAATTGACATCCCTAAAAGTGTGTTCTAATAAATGACCCTAATAGAAATACATAAGAGTATACAATTGTTTTATATTTTTAACTTTTTAAATAATTAATAATTATTCATATTTTATATAATACTTTTAATAAAATTTTTATAATACAGAAATAACAATTATTAATTTCAGTTGGGTTTATTTATCAAACTGATGAAACCAAACAACCCAATTAATTCGACTCGAGTTAGTCGGTTTTCTAGTATTTTAAATTGGCTTTGGTTCAAAAATTTCCCAGTTTGACTAAGTTGGATTAGTTTCACTTTGGCCTTTTGTAAATCGACCAAAATCGAATGACTTAACCATGGATATATGTTAATATTTTATATTTTAAATATAATTTTTAATATGGAAAAGTGAGAATTTTCCCATATTTCTTAGTCTAAAATGTTTTATATCATAAATCTAATTTTTAAATTTCTTATTTCATAATCGCACTATAATTTTTAAAATTAAATTAAATTTTTAAGTTTAAATCTTTTGAACAAACCGACCAAACCAAAACATCGACCCAAACCAATACAACTTGAGTGGATCGGTTTTCACAAAAGGTTAGTCGGTTTTAGCTGACCAACTCCCTAACTTGGCCAAGTCAATTTGGTGGACCAAATAGCCTACGACCGCATTGAACCAACTCATGACCACTCATAATTTCAGCTAAATTAATAGTCTTATTTCTAATAAATAACAATAGTTTAATCTCCAATAATTATTAAAAATTTATAGCAAAAATACACAATTATTGAAAATATATTGATAATGAAAAATACAATAATTACAGAAATTACAAAAATACAATAAGTATTAAAAATATATTAACTTAGTCAATAAATAATATAATCTAAAATAGTAGTTTAATCTCTACTAAATATTAATCAATAACTTATAACAAAAAAACAATAAATACAATAAGTACAATAAATTAAATTTAAAAGTTTCAATAATAGTAATTTAATCTCCAGTAATTATTGAAAGTTTTCTATTAAATAACTAAATAAAATAAATTTATACATACTTATTGAAAATACATTTATCACAAAAGACAATAATTATTAATTTTAGTATGTATAATTATATTATAAATATATATTAAGAGTTTAAAATTATTATTAATAAATATTATTTTTTTGAAAGTTATTTTCTCGAATTATTACTTCATATAAGTGAAATTAATTATTTACAATATTATGTAAAAATATTAAATTATTATTAATTTCAATATTATCTTATAATTATTTTTCTATTTTTTAGATCTTTTTATATTTATTACATAATTTATTTTTTTAGTTATTTAAATATATAAATAATAAATAAAATATTTAAATATTAAAATATTAATTATTTATTGAATTTAATTATCCATAAAATCATAATTAATACTATGATTACATAATTTCATTATTAAATTTTTAATATATTAAATTATTATTAATTTAACTATTATGTTATGATTATACTATACTATGATTATATAATTTTTCTACTTTGAAGAAATTTTTTAAATTGATTACATAATTTCGGTATTTTAACTATTTAAAATATAGTTATGATAAATATTTATTTATTTAAATATTTAAATATCTATAAAACATTTAA